TCCATTTGCTCAGGAGAAGCTTAAAGCAGCGAATGCAGAATTAAATCCATCACCATCACCTTCAGGATTCTGCTCTCCTGCACTTAAAAACAACACTTGCAAACACTTTGCTCTGTCAAACGTTAAAAGCCACCAGATTTGAGTGTGCATCAGTGTACGCACAGGGTAGATGAATGCTGGGGGTGGATTTGGGGCTGCGCTCTGCATCGCATCCCATGCTGAAAGCCCTCTGTGCTGCACAAACCAAGGCTGATGCAAAATCCCTCTGCTCTGCTCGTGCCACTGCGGGGAGGCTGTGCTTTTAAGTTGCTACAGGCTCTGCAGGAGCACAGAGGCAGGCGCCTGCGAATCCACAGCCGCCCAGCCTGGCAGACGTCCCTTGTCACCTCTCTCAGAAGCCGTTTGCATGCACTCTCAGACACCTCTGGCGATGCACGTGTCATCCCAGGCTCAGCATGTTGCTTCCAGCCCCCACCTGCAAGCCTTCAGCTTTCTCTATGGGAATGAAGGGAGCAAACATTTCCACTTGTGCCCGTGGCTTGCAAGACGTGAGCAAAGCCCATCGCAGTGGCACGGAGCTCCGTTCCCAGCAGGCTGCATCACCTCTCCTTGCATTAACGCCTGCTGTCAGCTGCTTGAGTGCAATGCAACAGGCAAGATGAGAAAGCTGAGGGTCGTCCATCCCATCTCCCTCGGTTTCTTTGGGTGCCGCTGTCCCATTCTTTGGCTGGAGGCTGAGCTGGATGAACACATCACGATGGGTCAGGGTCAGAGAAAGGTGGAAATGGGGGCTGTGAGCTCCTGCTCACAGGGGATTGAGGTTTGAAACGCACTTCTGCCCACTCCAAGAGCAAATGGAAGTCGTTCAGCCCAGGATCAAATGCATCCCGAAGGGTTGGTTGGGGTGCTGAGCACCGATCCCTCACCAAGAGCTGATGTTTTCTGCACTGCTGCTCCAAGAGAGAGCATCGCCCTGCTTGCACGGGCTGGGGGAAGGGAGGAGGGAGCTGATGGGACGCTCCGAGCACTGGCTCCTGCCCTCAGTGCTTCTGCTGTGTGTGGGATCCATCTCTTGCATAAGAGCCATTTGGGGCTGTGATTTATCTCTGCCTAATATGACGGGCTCTTGAATTGCAAAGGGAAAAAAAACAAAACAAAACAAAAGAAAAAAACCCTTCATTTAACAATAGTTCGGCCTAACCTTGTAATAACCTCCCTGCCTTCCCCAGAGAGATGCTTTGCTCAGATACAGGAATTTGTTATCCGCACACAAACATTGGCCCCTCTCTCCAAATTGGAGGGGCAGGACAGTCACCCTTTCCTCACCACTGCTTTTTGAAGTGACAGAAGCACGGCTTGAATGATTTTCCTATTTTCACCTCCCGGCTCCCAAGCAGGACCTGCAGGTTCAGTGCTTATGTTGTGATGATGGATGCGTGGGGTGGAAGACAGGGGACAGCAGGGTGGGATTCGGAGCTGAGCGCTCGGTTTTGGGAGAGCTGCATTCCATCGGGGCTGAACAAGGATGTGACCAAGCAGCTCGGTGCCGTGACCCCGACCCCAACGAGAGGAGCAGAACTTCATTTCAATTCATCAAGCCAACAGCCCGAGTCAATCCTCCTGCAGCCGTCGGGGGAGGGAGGTGCGGGGTGCGCCGGGTCGGGATGCGGGGTAGGTGCGGGGTGGGAGAGTGCGGGTCGGGTTGAACCCATTGCCGGGGCCATTGCCGGTCCTATAGCCGGTCCTATAGCCGTGCTGCTGGCTGAGCGCCCGGGGGAACGCGCCCTTCCCACGCCCCGACGGCACCGCGCCTGCTGCCGGCCGCGCCTGGCCGCGGGGCGGGGTGCGCCGTTCTGTTGCATGGCTTTTTTTTCCCTTTCTTTTTGCTTTTCTTCGCGTCGTTTTCTTCTTCTCCCCTCCCGGTTTATTTTCTTATTTCATTTCATTTCGCTTCCTCTTTGCAACAGTGGAAAGGCGAGGTCGGGGACGGTGGTGGGGAGGGGGCAGCTCCCAGCCCACCCCCGAGCTTCGCACAACCCTAGGTTATGTTATTCTTTTATTATATTATTTTATCCCCTGTTTACCATTTTTATTTATTATTCCACTGATTACTACTTCTACTGACTTCCCGATTTATTTATTCATTTATTTCTGCAAGCCTCTCCCCCCCCCCCCCCCCTTCAGGAAGGCAAGTCGGGCTGTGGGGGGGTGGGCAGATCTCAGCCTTTGGGCTCTGTCTGCCCTCACCTCCCCTCCCCTCCTCTCCCCTCCCCTCAGCTCTGCCCCCCACAGCCGGGCGGGATGCGGGAAGGAGCTGCGGGGCGGGGAGGAAACAGCTGCGGGAGGGCCGGAGGGGTTATGGGGGGTGGGGGGGAAACGGCAGCGAATTTCCTCCCTGGGAAGCACGAGAGCACGAGGTGGGAAGAGCGGAAGGCTTCAGGCAGCGCTCGGGTGCTTTTCCCAGCCTGAGCTTTGCTGCTGGGGCTTGGCTGCAGACTTTCCTTGCTCTGAGCAGCGCTTCCTACATGAAGTTCCAGTGGGGCTGCGGTGCTGCAGGCAGCTGAACCAGCACGGTGCATTGTGCAGCTGGAGCCCAACTCCCCTCTGCAACATTCGGCTTTCTGCAAGCTGCAGGCATGCCTACAGCTCTCCCTCTTCTCCTTCCCTTTGCAACAGGAATTGCAGTTTGCAAATGTTGCGGTGGAGTTTTGTCCCTTTGCAACCAGCAATGCAATTGCAGCCATGGCAGTGGAGTTGTTCTGTCCCTTTGCAACCAGAAGTGCAATGGCAGGTATTGCTGTGGCATTCAGCTGGTGGACACAGAGCATTTTGCTGCTGCTTTGCTGCTCTGTGCCCAGCCCACGCTCTCCTGCTGCCCCGGCATTATCATCACGTCCACCCTTGTGGACTTTCACCTTCCAGCAGCAGCAGCACACTTTGCTCTTTTATTGCACCTTGACAAGGATAAGGGCAGATTGAGCACTCAGCTCACAGCGTGAAAAAAAATCAAGGCTTGCATAGACAGCACAGCAGCCCCTTGGTTTTGAGCAGGGGGGAGAGCAGGGCAGGTGGGCAGGTTGGTGCAAAACCAACCCAAAGGCTGCAAACCTGCATTCTCTGGAGCTAAGGGCACCCATCGGTTTGGCTGCAGCTCTTGAGCTCCTGCCATTCACGTTGCTCGGTGTCATTCACCTCCCAGAGCCAGGCAGCAGCTCTGAGACTCTCCCAAGGCCAAAAGCAAAGCGTGTGGCTGTGCTGGCCCTGAGAGCAGGGCTGTGACCGCAGGGTCCCTGCACCGAGCTCTTTGCCAGCTGTCCCCTGCTGGGTTTTTCATTTCAGGGCATCCCTTTGGCAGAGACACATGCAAAAATCAGTTTTCTTCCAGCGAGTGCAGCTCAGGGTGCCTGATGGCTGTAAGAGAAAGGCGCTGTGTGTGGGGTGGCTGCAGGGGATGCAGGCAGGGTGCAGCCCTGGGGATGGATTGGGTTGCAGGCAGGAGACAGGCGGCTCTGGTCCGCGCTGCCCGGGTGGCTGCAGACAGCAGAGGAGGGGTTGGCAGCGACTGCGGGGGATGGAGAATGGCTGTAACGTGATTTTCTGCCTGCGATTGCATAACAAAACCTCCTGGGAACCTCTGGATTTAAATGGATCCTTTCTTGTGTCTGGGGCACCCGGTGCTGATCGATGATGCATTGGGGTTGGGTTCCTGGGGCTGACCTTGGCCATAGGTGCAAAAAGGCCTCCAGAAGTGGCACCTTGCTCTGTACCCATTAACTGCTACATTCTGCTTGCTGAGAGCTCAAAACATGACGTTGCATTGCCAGTATTTAAAAAAGAAAAGCAAAACAAAGGGTATGATGTGGAGTTCTTGGATGTCGTCCATCATCGGGGGCGTTGCAGCCAGGAGATCCCTGAGGGTTGGGAAGGGGGGTGAGGAGCATTGCGTGTGGGGGTGCCAGGGGATTCAAGGATGGATGAGAAACGTGGTTACGATGCATCGTGGCCCCTGGTGTGGCAATGGTAATGGACAGGGCATCCATTGCACAGGGCATCAGTGCACAGGGCAATGGCACACGCACGGCATGCACTGGATGTGAGGATGGCATCCAGATGGCATCTATTGGACGTCTAATGGCACGCACATGGCTTCCCCTTGCAAGGACTCCAATGGCCTGACCTCACAAACGCAGAGCAAAGCACGCAACCAGACTTCCCTCCCTCCCATACCACTCAAATGGTCTTTCTCCTCACCGTGGCCTTATTAATTGGTGACAATTGGAAGCGGTTTAATTCCGTGTGGGTGAGGCTGCCATTGCTTCCACTTGGCCGGGATTCAAGTGCTGGGGGTGAGGCAGAATGGGTGGCAAAACTGTCTTTTCCTCAGCTCCGATACTTACTGGAAGAAAATAAAATAAAAGCCACAACCCCGAGTGATTCTCTTTTATGAGGTCGGCATTGTGAGGCCGGGCAATTGAATTTACAACAGCATTGAGTATCGGAGTCTATCTGGCCATGTCAATGAGAGCAGGGAGAGAGAAGGGAAGAAAGAAAGCAAGAAAAAAAAGACACACATTAACCCTCAGCTCCGAGTTCCCAGGCGTTTCAATAGGGCTCCCAACTTCCCAAAGAGCCCGCTGCATACTCGATGAGACCCTTTATACCTTCTAATTACCCTCCTCACAATGGGGACGGACTCTCTTGCCTCTTTTGTGGGCCGAGATAGTAACTTTTGCACGCACCACCCCCACGGAAAGGTAATGCAGAGCCATAATACGGAGCGAAAGCTTCAAGTTGAATTATCTCACGCAGCAAGCATGCATTGCCCAGCTTCCAGGAGCACGGATTTAGGAAGCTGTGCTCGCACAGCCCCTCATCACCTCCCCTATCTGCTGCACGGAGCCCTCCTACAGCCACACTCAAGGCCATAAAGCTGGCCCCTATCGCCTTCCTGCAGCGTCGGCTTTGTCTCTGCCCATTCAAATGAGAGGAGAAAGTAAAAGTTCTATTTCAAAGAGTTTATTTCGACACCTGCATTATTATTATTTTGTTCCTTTTTGTTTTTGGAGGTCTCCAACACAGGCACACGCAACACACGCACGGACCGACGGGGATACAAACAACTTTGGCATCGTACTTTGAGTTCTTTGTTACAAAACTATTTCTCATTTATTTCTCCTTAATTAAAAAAAAAAAAAAAATGTATCTCAAATAAAGGCATTTCAAAGGAGTAAAAATACAAATCGAGATCCCAACCTCTGAGAATAATAAATAGCGAGTTCCTAGCGAGGTCCTTTTGTTTTTTTTTTGTGTTTTTTTTTTCCCCCTCATGTTGAAATCTGCTTAGGAAAAATACAACAACCACAACAGGGCTCCATAGAACGGAGCCAAGGCAGAGTTTTTGGGATGAGGGATGGGATTGGTCACCACGGCCTCCAGACGGACTCCCTGCGCTCAGCAATAGGGCTGCCTGCCTGGGATGCGGGCACCACGCTGTGCCCAAATGATGTCAAACCCTGCACGGGGGATGCTGACGGGGTGCTGGCTGAATTCCCAGAGCCTCCACTTGTGGACACTGGGACGTTGGAGTTGGCGTAGAGTGGGATAACCGGTCCAGAGCCAGGTGGGAACGTCGGGTTGGGGATGAGGAAGGCAAATTGACCGTCGGTGGCTGGAACGAGCTGAAAACCCCCATAGACTTTAGGGGAAAGAGCTTCGGTTGGTTCCAGCTTGCACGGCACCGGCACAGCTCCGGTGGTGGTAGGAGGCAGTTGGACATGCAGAGGTTGAGCCAGATGTGCAGGTTGGCCAGCAGGAGGGGGGGGCAGGTAGTTCATGGCCACGATCTGCCCCAGGCAAGCAGAGAGGTGGCCCAGCAGGCGGGCTCGCACATCAGCGTTCACCCCCTCACACGTGGACAGGAACCTCGTCACCTCGTTCATGCACTCATTGAAACCAGCCCGGTATTTGCCCAGCACACTGGGGTCAGCGCTGAGGGCAGCTGTAGGAAAAGAACAGAACAAATTTCTTGGCAGGGAGGTCTCAAGAAGCTTCCTTAGAGGGTTTTTGGGAGTCCTTAGTGCTCGCAGAGGCTTTTGGGGTCCTTTGAAGTACTTGGGGTTCATGTGGCTGTTGAGAGGCTGCTTTTTTTTTTTGGAAGAGCACTAAGAGCTTTTTTGGGGGGTTGCATCATTTCATTGGGGTCCCAAAAAGTTCAGCAAGTTCACATGGGTTTGGGCACATCCCTAAATGTTTTTGCCAAAGTTGATTTTGGGGGGGATTTCCACGAACTTCCTTGGGTCTTAAGATTTTTTGAGGCTTGAATTTGGGGTCTGCAAGAGTTTTTAGGGCTCCCTACAAGTTCTGGAAGGTTTGCACGGGTTCATTGGGGATCCCCATGAGCTTCTGAGGTCTGCATGGGTTTGAGGGCTTCCTAGTAGTTTCCATGCAAGTTTGGGGTCCCTAAGAGTTTCCGAGCCTCATATGAGCTTTAGGGGCTCCTTTAGGGGCTCCCCAAGGGCTGGGGGACCACCGGGGGCTCCAGACCCCGGGGTCAGGGGGTGAGGATGGGGGGTTACTCACCGGCCATCTGTGCCCTCTGCAGGTTCCTCAGGTGCTTCACCGTCATCTCCAGGATGTCAGCCTTCTCCAGCTTGGAGTGCCGCGAGCTCTGCGGGAACAACACCGGCACTCAGAGCCCCCTCCCCGCATCACAACCCAGCGGCAACCCCTCCCCCCTTACAGACCCCAGCGTTGCTGTACTCACGTCTTTTTTCAGCGCGTCCAGGATGAGCATCTTCAGCTGCCCCAGGCTCTCGTTGATGCGCGCCCGCCGTCGCTTCTCCATGATGGGTTTGGAGGACTGCGGGCACAGCGCACACCGTCACCGCCCGCTGCTCGCCCCCGGCCCCGGCCCCCTGACCCCGCACACCGACCTCGGCCCGGCCGCGGGCTCGCCGCCATCCGCTGCCATTTACCTTCCGGTGCTCGCTGGCGCTCCGCGGTTTATCCGGCGTGTGGCTGGCGTTGGCCGGTGCCCCCGCGATAGGGGAAGCGGTGGGTTTTTCCATGCCCGTGTCGGCGGGCATGGCGAGGTAAAAAGGGAAATTAAAATAACTAAAAGAAATTCAGTTAAAAACGAAGAAATTGGGAAAAAAAAAAATAAAGAGGTTTAAAAAAAAAAAAGGAAGCGCGGGAAGGAAGGCGCTCCAAGCAGACAACGAACGCGTGCGGCGCTAGCGGCGGCGGGACCAGCAATGCCCGCGAGCGGCGCCCCCCCGCCTTTTATACCCGCCGCCGGCTCCCCATTCGTGTGAACCCGCCGCCGCGGCCGTTCCCACACTCCCCTCAACCAATAGCAGCGCGGGGCGGACGGACGCGGAGTTCCGATTGGCCGTCCGCCCCGCGCCCGTCCGTCACGCGCACCGCCCCCTCCCTTCTCCCGACCTCGCGAGCCAACAGGCGACGGGCGAACGGCGGCGCTCCTTCCTATTGGCTGGCGGCGGGCCCGCTGTCACTCAACGAGCGGCGGGCGGCGGCGCTCGTGCCCCCCCCCGCCCCCCCCGCCCGGAGCACGTGCCGCCGCGCGGCCGGCAGCCCGCATGGGAAAACCCCGCCCCGCGCCAACGCGCGCCGCCTCGCGCCGCCGCACCCGGGCATGGCGCGCGCGCGAGGGCAGCCCCGGGGGTGGGAGGGGCGGGAAAACGGGGGGAGGGGGGGGGGGAGCGCCGGCCGGGGGCAGAGCGCGTGCGTGTGGGGCGGGGAGCGGGACGGACGGGCACGGGCCGGCCGCGCTGCGTGATTAGTGCTTTTTTTGGTTGTTAGGTTTTATTTCTTTTCTTTTTTTTTTTCCTTCTTTTTTTTCTTCCCTCTCTTTACTTTTTTTCTTCTTTCCCATTTGCTTTTTTTTTCTTCTTCGTCCTTTTTTTCCCTCCTTTTTTCTCCTTTTTCTCCTTTCTCTCGTTTTTCTCCTTTTTCTCCTTTTCCCCCCTTTTTCTCCTTTTTTTCTCTTTTTTCTCCTTTTTTTTCCTCCATTTTTTCTTCTCCTTCTTTTCCCCTCATTTTCCCCTCCTTTTTCTCTCCATTTTTTCTCTATTTTCTCCTTTTTTTTCTCCTCCATTTTTCTCCTTTTCCCCTCCTTTTTCTCTCCTTTTTTTCTCCATTTTCTCCTTTTTTTCTCCTTTTTTTTTTCCCCTTCCTTTTCCCTTCCTTTTCCCCTCCTTTTTTCCTTCTATTTCCTTCTTCCATTTTTTCCCCTTTCCTTCCTTTTTCTTCTTTTTTCTTCTTTTCTTCTCATTTTCTTTTTCTTCTTTTTCCTTCTCTCCCTTTTCCCTTATTCTCTTTTTTCTTCCTTCCCCCCCCCCATCCTTTCTCATTCCCTTCACCAACCCCATAGCAATTCCAACTCTCCTTTCGCACCACCCCCTTGACTCTTCACAAGCTCCCTCTTACCCGATCATAACCACACACAGCACAGAACACGACGCCTGCTGTCACCCCATGCTTTGCTTTTCTGCTTTGCTTTCACCTTCCTGCAACAACCCCCCCCCCGTTTGCTCCCCCCATCACTGCACGCTCACACCCTCCTGCACCGGATTGCACTGCTGCTGTTGCAACGGCCTTTGCACACTTAGAACCCCCTCCTTGCACACACATAACCCCCACACCAAACTACCTGAAGGGCTCTTTGCTCTCCGAGCGCTGCATCACGGATTTAATCCCCGTATTTCTGTTGGATCAGAGGACAGAGGAGCACAAACAGCTCCCTCAGATGCGTGCACTTTGATCCCTAAACCCAACTTGATTGCAGCCGTGCTCGGAAAACATGGGAGCCCCTTTGAAAAGCTTTGCAGCTGAGAAACGGCCCAGGGTGGTGGGGGCTGCATGGGGCTTTGCTGGGGCTGTGTGGGGCTGGCAGCTGGGCCCTTTTGCTGCTGTTTGTGTGTGGCCAGGCTGTCACCCCCCAAGATTTCTCCCAGCTTATCCCCTGTACTCATCCCTTGCCACGCAGTGTGCTTGGGGTTGTGTTCCATGAGGGGATGCTGGAAGGGAATGAAGACATCAGGGCTGGCAGGTTGCATGGGAGGCAGCATGGGACAAGTCTTCCCTCTGGAGCTCAGTGCTCTGATCAGCCACAGTTAATTAGCAGGGTCAGACAGGCCAAGGCTCCCAAAAGTGGAGAGGGAAAATCTTTGTACCATTGCATCCCATGTACATCATTGGGATGCATCCCTTGCACCATTGCATCCCATTTGCACCACTGGGATGCATCCCTTGCACTACTGCACCATTGCATCCCATGTGCACCATTGGGATGCATCCCTTGCACCATTGCATCCCATGTACACCATTGGGATGCATCCCTTGCACCATTGCATCCCATGTACA